ATCAAAACTTGCGGTGCCAAAAGATGAGGTGCCAACTTCACACACACGTGATTTCGTCTAATTCTGTTTGCATGGGTCTCGCGCTGCTTTTCCATGTAAGAGGCTCTCGTCCTGATGTTCCGTTAAATTTTCTCTGCAAGAACAGGGTCGGCAGTAGTAGGGCGCAAACAGCGTAAATGACTATATAGTCCAGTGGAATTAGAATTTTTGCGGAAAAAAATTGTAAACCAGCATTTCGCTCGGCAATAATCTTCGGAAGGCCATCAGAAAAGAAATGCATATGTTTGAGATTCGAACTTATGGAAATGTGCGAAAAAAATCGAATAGTTGTAAAAAGCATGTTTTTCGCTTATAAAACGAAAGATATTGATCGGCAAAAAGTTCCGTATAAAAAATGTAGATATTTGAAATATCTACAAAAGTAGACGTGGAACATTAAGATCGGTTGTATTAGTTACGTAGAAAAAAAAACATGTATGTATTCCTCATGAAAAACTGAGTCGAAAATGTTAATAGCAAAATGTTGAGGTGTCAATAATTTTTGAATGGTGAGCCTTGGAAACCATCCAACCAGGGCGTGTAAAGTTCGCGCCGCCAGACGCGGCCGGCCGCGATCGCGCTTTGACGGATATCGCTCCTCTCAAATGTCGATGCTGAATGAGAAAAGGTTTCGCGAAATCTCTATTAACGTCTACTGTTGTATTCTTAAATTGAGCCCAATTTACCTGATGAGTAATTTCAATTGCAAATTTGATAAAACATTAAAAAGTGTGTTTTTGAAATACACATTTTAAGTAATAGATAAATATTAATAAATTAAATAAATATTAATTAAATTACCCAAACAAATAATATTAAAAACATCAGTCAACAAACATTTCCAAAACTTCTTTTCAAATAGTTCTGTCATAAACAATGGCTGCGTTCAGCAGAGAAAACCGCTCATTGAGCGCTCAAAACTCCAAACCTTGGTACCCCGACGCCATTCGCTAGTTTTCTTGAACAATTATTGTGTTTCCTTATTATTAATTATCAAATCTAATCTTGCTTTCTCGATTTTCCGCGTGCTTGCTACAGATTGTCCTTTATTGCAACGTGAATATACCGATGTTTCTACATCTTTTTTTCAATAGAAATCAAGATAATCCACTCTGCTGATAACTTTTCTTCTCTTCCTACCCTTTCTTATTGTTCCCAATATTATTGATCCTTGCTTATCTGCTTATTCTCTATTAGGATAATATATATTGTGTAACTATTACTTTATGTGTAAGAATATTGTTTTTATTTTCATAATCTAATATAATTTTCATAATCTATGTAATATTGTTTTTATTACCGTAGTCTAATGTAATCAATTGTCCTGTTATTTTTTTCTTAATATTCATATTAGTATCTAATAAATATGTTGACACTTTTCTCTCTTTCTGATATAGTATAATTTTTTACTTTTATATAGGTAGAATACATACTCGTAAAATTTGATGATGATGCAAAAACTGCGAAGCTTAGTTTAAGAGCTATGGAAATATTAAGAATTTTAAATGAGAAAGAAAACGAAGATCCAGAGTAAGTCTAAGTTATATATACTGATATTATAATACTTAATTCGGATAAACATCCGAAAATCGTGACTACCTCTGATTTCGATGAAACTTTGTAAAAAGTTTCATTTCAGGTTAAAATGAAAACTCTTAAAGGGATTTTTGGTGACTTCTAGGAAAAAGCCATTTTTTTAAATAGTAAAATGAATAATAAATGTTTATATTAATTATGAAATCATTAATTTTAATGATCTTAAAGTATATTAAAGAGAAAAAATTACTTAGTTTTCTCTGATAATCTGATAATTCTACTGAATGGATGATCTACAATGTATCAAAGATTTTATATCAATAACTGACGCGAAGTAAAATCCCATACCAATTTAAATAAACAATATTAACTCTAATGATATGTATAATTTATAAAAGATATAATTTATAAAAGATTTGATATTAACAACCGGCACCGATTAAATTCCACAAAATATTTTCTATTATTCGTATAAAAGATTTGATATCAACAACGGATACCAAGTTAAATTCTATAAATAAAGAATATAATCCACAAATGGTATTATTTTCAATTTTTATGCAATGAAATCTAAATATTTTTCCTATTGAATTCCTATTGAAGGATCTTTCTATTCCAATCTAAATGGCTTCAATTTTTCATAAAAGAAATTATTATATCGCATTTCATTCAAAGATATTTTCTCTTCCAAATAAAGTAGTAGTTTATTAATTCTCCTTCAAAACGTTATCATATCACAAAATTGCATCACCTTGCTCAATTTAAGTGTTATCACAAAAAGTTAAAGAAGTAAACACTTAGCGCTGCTAAATCGCTATGATAACATAGTAGTAAAACCATGAATATAATATTTAGAATAAGAAAAATAAAAAATATTCCCATGAGAGTAAAAATATCCAGCATGTGTATATGTATATGCGATTAAGTTATACAGTTGTATATGTTATGAAAGTTGTGCAAGCTATTAGTGCAAGTTTATGTCTAAGATAAATAGATTTGTAAGACATGCGTTATGAAACGAAGATTATTAAGTATAATATTTAGATTAAATTCATTATTACTTTGAAATTAAAATTATCTTTTATTATTTATTTTTATGAACTATTGTAATTTCTAAATTGTTTTCATAGTTTTTCTTATTCGATCTAGCAGCGTCAAGTGTTTTTACATAAAAAACTTTTCTATTTAAATTAAATTTGTTCATTTTATACTGTTAGTTTTTTTAGTTTTTTGTGGTAACATTTGAATTGAGCAAGGTAACGCAATTTTGTGATATAATATTATGTTTTGAAGGAGAATTAAATAACTACTACTTTAGTTGGAAGAGAAAGTGTCTTTGAATGAATTGCGATATAATAATTTCCTTTATGAAGAATTAACGTTATTTAGATTGGAAGGAAGATCCTTCAATAGGAATACAACATTACTTAGGTTTTATCATATAAAAATTAATGATAGTACTACTTTAATTATATTATTTATTTGTGAAATTTAACTTGGCACCAGTTGCTGATATTAAATCTTTTATACGAATATAATAATATATAAAATTTTATAAAATTTAACTTGGCGCCAGTTGTTGATATCAAATGTTTCATACAAATGACACATATCATTGCAGATAAGTAAAACTAAATAATACATATTGAAAAAAAACTACTCTACCAAATTAAAAAATAAAACCAATTGATACTTACTATCTTTACTAAAAGTGATACATAACATATCTTTTAAAAGTAGAACTCAAGTAGTACATACTATCTTTACTAAGTGATATGATAAAACCAATTGATACTATACTATGAGATACGTTATTTAATTTTTACCAAGTGACACGTTATACCTTTTTGTATTTTCGCATTAAAAGTCTTATTCCAACCTTCCAAAAAGAGTAATGGTAATTCTTATTTTTCTTCAAAAATATTGAGTCATTTTATTTTGATTCAAGCAATAATAGCTTTAATTCTCCTTCAATAATTATTACATAAAAGTTATTATTAGGTGTGATTTAGTTTTGAAGGTTTTTTTCTCAAAAACTAATTTACTTAAACAAGATAATGAATGAATACCCTAATCAAAATATTTTCCTTCGTTTTATATGACTTTTTCCCATCCTTCTGGCAAAAGATGGATTCCGCGACGATAAAAAGATTTTTCTTAGGAGTTGATCCAATTTTCAACAAATTTTCGCACATCATCGAAATTATGAAAGTGTGTATCGAGTAAAGCATGTTGCATCGACCGGAACAAGTGAAAATCAGATGGAACAATGTCTGAAGAATACGCGGGATGCGGTAAGACTACCCATTCCAGCTCTAATAGCGTTTGCTTCACTGATAATGCAACATGAGATCAAGCATTGTCGTGAAGAAGGATCACTTTGCGTGGTTTACTCGCAATTGGAAATCGTTTTTGGTCTAATCAGTCTAATGTTTGCTTCAATTTGTATAATTGTTGTCGTTACGAGCAACGGTGACAGTTTCTTTCGGATTTAACAGTTCATAGTACATAACACCTTCTTAATCCCACCAAATACACAGCAATGCCTTTGAACCGTGAATATTGCGCATCGAAGTGAATGTTGCTCGTTGGCCTGGATCAACTCGTGATTTTTTTTCGTTTGGGATCAAAATAGATTCATTTTTCATCCCCAGTAACAATTCGATACAAAAAGCTCTTTTTTTTTGTCTGGCGATCAACCAAATGCAAATGTTCAATTGGTTCGCAATGGCATTTTCCGATAACTGATATGGAATCCATTTTCTTTCTTTGTGAACCTTTCCCATATTATGTAAACGTTTAGTAACTGTTGCACGATCAACATTTAATTCTCTGGCAAGTTCTGAAGTGGATTGTACTGGATTTTCGTTCAATAATGCTTGCAAGCCTGCATTTTCTAGCTTTTTTGGTTGTCCCGAGCGATCTTTGTCGTTAACATTGAAATCACCATTTCGTCTGAATGAACCAATACTCACATGTCTTAATTGATCGAGCAACATTACCATAAGTTTTTATCATTCTATGAATTCTTCAGCCGCTGTTTTTTTTTCTAATTAAAAAACAAAAGCAACGCATGTCAAAAATTCTCTTTAAGAAGATCCATTTTTTAAATGGTAAACACGATGTTTACCATTGTTACGACTATTGTTAGTAAGTGACTAAATATGGAGTAATAGTAAGGCACTATAGATGGGAGTATTCCTATCCGCCATTTTCGTGCCAAATCAGTGCCACTACAGCGAGTGTTACAATACTGATCGAAAGTCGCTGCATTTAATCCAAAAAGTATGTATTTTTCCATTAAAAAAAAAGACATTCACACAAACACGGAAATAATTAATTTCAGAATAGAAATTTGTTCTTTTTATCTGCAAATATTTATGTCTCAGAAAGATAATCCTCAAGACGTTATTATCTTGTTGGAGTGTGGCGAGACTCCTCAGTAGCTTTCTCTTGGTTAACCGAATTCTGCAACAGAAAAACTCAGACGATTAAGATTCTGGATCATGCAATTCAATCTTCTTCCATTAATATATAGTATTGCAGTTTGAAAAATTACCAATTCTTGAAGCACCGATCGGTTAAAACTACCGACTATTGCTACTTGAGCATGCGTTGCGTTTTCATCACGATTCTGAAAGGAGCGAAAAATATTAATCTTGACAGTGATAGGTTAAAAAAATGTGGTTAATTTTTGTCGAAAGTAACCTTGTATAGTGATTTTCGTCTAGGTGGGTTGATTCGTGGCGGGGGTTGGGCACATCGAAAAGCGTTGGGACTGTATTCGGTTTAAGTTTTCTCCAGCCATCAATGCGATGGGCTTCGAATTGGGAATCTTCAAAATGTACCTTGAAACAAACAAAAAAATATTATTAGTGTTGAGTATTATGCCATTGTGTGATATGATAAAAAAAATTATATCCTTATTTCGATACTTACCTCACACAATCGCGAAGAGGTGGTCGATGTCCACTTATCTCGTCGCATATTGTCAACCCATTTTGTCCCACGTTTATCCTTCGGGAACGAGAAGAGCCATAGCCCTTGTCAACCCGATTACTACAATTAACTGCGGCACAGCCAGGCATTTTTTAAATGCGAATATTTATGCCTTTATACGATTTATTTCTGCAACAAGATAATAACGTCTTGAGGGTTATCTTTCTGAGACAAATATTTACAGATAAAAAGAACAAATTTCTATTCTGAAATTAATTATTTTCGTGTTTGTGTGAATGTCTTTTTTTTTTTAATGGAAAAATACAGACTTTTTGGATTAAATGCAGCGACTTTCGATCAGTATTGTAACACTCGCTGTAGTGGCACTGATTTGGTACGAAAATGGCGGATAGGAATACCTATATCTTTAGTGCACCAGTAATAGTAAAGCATTATGAAATAATAGCTGCGATTGGAATGTCTTCGACAACACTGACATTAGTGCCATCTCTTGCTAAACTCTCAAAACTAAATCACACTCCTAATATATCACAAAATTTACTTAACTCTAGTGATATGTATCATTTAATCTTTCCCGAACCTCCAAAAAAAAGTAATAACATTAATACTATACTCTAGTAATATCATTTGTATAAAAGATTTGATATCAACTACTAGTGCCAAGTTAAATATTCTACTATCTTCTTATTCCATCCTCCCCCAAAAAATAATAGTAACTTTAATGTTTCTTCAAACATATTTTTATTGAAGATCATCCTATTTCAAGTAATAATAGCTTCAATTAGGCCTCAAAAATTATTACATAAAAATTATAATATTATCTTTTTATTTCGATCCAAGTAATATTCTTTTAAAATTTTTAATTAATTCTAATGAGATATGTGTAATTCATACGGTATTTCTTAATTCAAAATGCGTGATATTAGTACAAACTTACCTTTTTAAGAAAAGGTAAATGAAGGCGCTAAGAATACCACCTTGATCAAAAAATTTCCGGAATTACCACCAGGTGATGCTCTGAGTCAGCTGATTTGAGTTCTGTTTTTTTGATTAGGTTGCCACATCTATCATTGACATTTCCACCAAATTTTATCGCCATAGCTTGACATTTGTAAAAGTTACGCCGTCTTGAGTACATCTACCTCTGCACGGTTTTCGATTATTTACAGTTTTAAAAATGGAGTTGAATTTGCAACATCCGTGAATTTTTGATCAAGAACGAAACTAATACCATCCAACAGCCATCGAATTCACCCGATATGGCTCCCTGCGATTTTTTTCTGTTCGATCGAGTCAAAAAACCACTACGGGGAACGCGTTTTAAGCCGAAAGGAGGTAATGGAAAAATCGAAAACTATGCAGAGGTAGATGTACTCAAGACGGCGTAACTTTTACAAATGTCAAGTTATGGCGATAAAATTTGGTGGAAATGTCAATGATAGATGTGACAACCCAACCAAAAAAACAGAACTCAGCTGACTCAGAACATCACCTGGTGGTAATTCCGGGAACTTTTTGATCAAGGTGGTATATGTGCTCCTCGAATAAAGCGTAAATGATATGTTGCGTATCTTTTTATTATTCCAACCTAAGCAATAGTAGTTTTAATTCTTTTTGAAAGATATTCTTATTGAAGAGCCTCTCATTCCAACCCAAGTAATAGCAGCTTTATAATTCTGTCAAAAATTATTACTCCTCGAAAAAAATTTATACAAAATTAAAAATTAAAATCCAAATGATACAGTCTTAACTAACCAAGATAAATACTAAAACTAAAACCTAAATGGTACTATCTTAATCACTTAACTTTAATGATATGTATCATTCTTATAAAATTTGATGTCAACAACTGGCATCAAGTTAAATTCCACAAAATTTTATGTATCATTTGTATAAAGGATTTGACATTATAACAACTGATGCCAAGTTAAATTCCACAAAATTTTATGTATCATTCGTATAAAAGATTATCTTTTTAAAAAAGATATAAAAAGGCGCTAAAGATATACGTGTTTCTCGAGTAAAACCAAAGTGATACGTTATATATCTTTTTATTATTTCAATTTAAGTAATAGTAGTTTTAATTCTTCTCAAAAATATTCTTATTGAAAGTCCTCTTATTCCAATCCAAGTAATGGCAGCTTTAATTTTTCATCAAAAATTATTTCTCAAAAGAACTACTGTACCAAATTAAAAATTAAAACCTAAATGATAGTCTTAACTAACCAAGTTATATTCTATCAAATTAAAAAGTAAAACCCAAGTGGTACTATCTTTGTTATTTACTTAACTTTAATGATATATATCAGTCATATAAAAGATTTGTTATCAACAACAGGCACCAAGTTAAATCCCGTTCCAACTATACTAAATTAAATACAGAAAATAACATAAAAATAGTATAACAAGTGATATTATTTTTAACTTTTCTACAATGACACCTGAGTATATAGGGTGTCTCAGAAAAACGTTTGTCCTTAAAATGACATTTCTGACGATTCTAAGACAATTTTTCCTTTGCCAAAATTTTATCCGAAGCTTAGTTTTTAATTATAAGGGAAAATAGTTAACGAATTACGAGTCGCGTATGGAAGGTAGGCAGGGGCGGCGCATACCGTCTAATGCGGGCGCTCAGTGCGATCAGCTGCTTGCTACGCGTGAAACGCGTGACATGATGGTACGCGCACGTACATGTTTTCTCTCTTCCTCCCTCCCCCTCCCTCTCCTTCACCCCTTCTCCCTCCCCCTTCCTTCACCCCTTCTCCCTCCCCCTCTCCTACCTTGTAGAGATGTCTTCGTACCGTAGCCGAGCTGGAAAAAAGCAGAATAATTTCATGACCGTAAATTCCAACGAGATTCTCATGAATCTACACCGAATAACAATAAGTTTTTATCTCTCACATTAATTATATCACGTATCACGCACACTTAATCGATTTACAAACTAATCCAAACATACGATTGTTTTACTTCAACTTATTGCACCGTTTGTGTGCATCAATTTAAATAGTGCAGGAATAAAGAACAGACCTAAGAAAGATAAATAATGCTTACAGCGCTGTGAGCACAAACCCGAAAGCACCCAGTACCAACATAACCATTGACTTGTTGACATCGAGCAGCCCATGATATAAAGACAAGGGTATGCTCGTCCGATAGTAGATCACAGGGCTGCGTTCAGGAATTACGCCCAGATAACTCTAAGCTATAGGTTACGTTACGTATATTATAGCAAAAATGCACTAGTTATCTAGGCGTAATTCCTGAACGCAGCCCTGCGCACGCAAGCATACATCATATTCGGCCAGCCTCGGCTATATCCGGAGCGGTTCGTGTCAATGAAATATGGTCACCAACAAAGACATAGAGAATGGACTGTGCGATTCGTGGTCAAAATAGAATGCAATTCATCTTGGAAGAGTGCAAACATAGGACGATATCGTCCATGTACCTGCAATAAAAAGGCTCATTTGAGACTCATATCGCTCGCACGCGTGCTGACACTAGTTTAATATTCGAAAAAAAAAACATTCATATTTAAAGAGAGAGAGCTTACAAATTTTATTCCTAAGACACTCATAGTAATTATACCTGAAATTAACTACTTCAAATTGGTTTTAAAAAATGCACCTTAATTAGTAGGATTCGAACCTGGAACCTCTGGATTATGAATCTTCTGCGTTACCCGCTACACCACTTCTTCAATTGATAAGTGTGTTATTTATTGTCTACTTCAATAACCAGCTAAACCAGCGCACGAAATTACATAGATATAATAAAAAAATCATCATTTAACATATACAATATAATAAAATATAAACAATTTACATTACTATAAGACAACATTGGATAAGAGTCGGATAACCTAATCTCGCTTGGCCGATGTCACGCGCCGCGAGTAATCGGTTGGGAAGTAAAAAAAAATCGGTTGGGAGTAAAATTTAACCCCATTACCCATTTTTTATCTGTTTTTATATTTTGTAATATTATATTTTAAATGTTCACGAATATAGTGTGATTTTTTCAAAGTTTTTGCTTTTAATTTTTTGCTTCTAATACCTCGCACATGTGTACTCTCATCACGCGTAATGGCAAATTACCTCGCACGTGTGTGCTCCCTTCATGCGTGATGGCGTAATGCTCCTCACGTGTGTGCCCTCACCATACATGATAGCAATATGACGGCAATATCTTGCGCGCACAACGTGATAATCAAGCGTGACGGCAGTATCAGTACTTCCGTTGACTTATAATAACTGTTTTATATGTATAATCATATACTATTATCATACGACATTTATCCTCACACATATGCCCCATCACGCATGGACTGCATAGTGCCATCATTACGCTCGCACGCGTGCGACCATCATATCACGTGGGCGATGTGACGGGCGTTCTTGCACGCACGACCTGATACTCACGTGTGAGGGTTATATGAGATTGCACTAAACGTTATCTGGGTAGTAGCGGCTTAGCAGTTATATTAACGTCTGCATAGATGAGAGGGGGGGGGGGGGGGAGGCAAGAAGGAGCATTCGATGTTGATTCGACGTCGATATCATTGTCATTTCTCACTGGGTGTATGCTATAAGTCGTAAGAAATTGACCAATTACAATCGAATATGAGAAAAATGCGTGCGTGATACGCATGGTGTGATTGCATAATGCGATTTATTGCGCCCATACGCATGTCCCAACATGTCGTGTGGGCAGTACGATAATAGCACGGTGTGCGCACGATGTGATATGCACGGCATGATTGCGTAATGCGATTCATTGCGCTCGCACATGCCCCCATCACGTTGTGCGGGCAGAGTGTGATACGCACGCGTGAGAGCAATCTGAGCTCGCACGAATTGTTATCTGATGGGTATAGTTGAATTTCACTGATTACTCAGTACCAAATGTGCTAATATGATATGCTAATTCAGTACCATAAGTATGTCACTTCAGTTATATTTTATTCAGATTTAGAGAGTGTATTTATCACACGTGAGTCGTAGCCACGATGAACATTCTTATCTCATCTTTTTTTTTATCCTTACTTGAGGACATAATCCACATCTCGCTTAGTTTTGCAATTTAATGCAAAAATATAAATAAAATTTTTTTAACGAAAATAACGTATTGGTCACACTTG